GTCTCGGAGCTCGCCATTCATCCGATGCTCCGCGGGAACGTCGTCCATCAACCTCATATCGTTGGCTGACCACTTACGTAATGGAAAGCCGCCCGCCACGCAGAGATTGACTAGTTGATGAAGGAGCTCGCGGGCGTCCGTGAGCGAGTCGGCTCCCGTAAGGACATCGTCCATGTAGACGTCCCTCCGAATCACGGCGGCAGCGAGAGGGTAGCGCGTTTCCTCATCATCGGCGAGCTGCCGTAAGACGCGCATAGCCAAGAACGGCGCACACGCCAAGCCGTATGTAACCGTGTTCAGACGGTACTCACGGAGCTCATCTTGTGGATTGTACCGCCAGACAATTCGCTGCAGATCCCGATCTTCAGGGTGTACCATGATCTGCCGGTACATCTTCTCTATGTCCGTGGCGAGCACGAAGCGATGCACTCGCCAACGGAGAAGTACATCGGCTAGAGGAGGAAGCAGGTTCGGACCCACCAGGAGGTGACGATTCAGCGAGTCGCCCGAAGAAGTCGCGGTCGAGCCGTTAAACACGACGCGCAGCTTGGTCGTCGTGCTGGACTCCCGCAACACGCCGTGGTGCGGGAGGTAGCTCACAGGTCCCCCGGCACCCTTCGAGCCATTCAACGGAGTCATATGGCCCATGTCCTCGTACTGGCGGAGGAAGTCGACGTACAGTCGCCGCAGCCGCGCGTCCTGAGAGAACCGCCGCTCCATGTTTGTTAGCACGCGCCGGGCCGTGTGTCGCGTACGCGAGAGATCCGGTAACGGTGGTTTGACGGGAAGACGTACGACATAACGCCCGTCAGCAGCGCGACGATGAGTCTGGCGGAACTGATCCTCGCACTCCTGGTCAGCAGGGGTAAGAGGTGACGAACGGTCGGCAAGCTCATCCTGCTGCCAGAATTTTTCGACCAGCGTAGCCAAGTCTTCCTCGACTCGGCAGTGGAGAGTTAGCGCGCGGCGAGAGGAATTAGCGGAGCTAACGGCTCCCGAAAGGATCCAGCCGAGCGACGTCTGCTGGGCGACCGGCTCGTTGGGTCCGCCCTTTTGTAGGCCCGGCTGGAGGATATACGCGTAGACATCTGCGCCGAGCAGGATGTCAATAGGATCCGCGGCCAGATAATCAAGGTCCGCCAATTCCAGGGCCGCCAGATGCGTCCAAGATTTAGGATCCGCTCTGATCCCACTGTCGTAGAGCGTGAGCTGGAGGAACACTAAGGCCGGCACGGTCATCGGAGCCCCTCCCGTCAGCGGAGAGATCTGCATGGAGATGAGGCCGCGCGCGGTGCCTGTCTGTTTCCCCCCGACACCGAATATCGCGATCGACGTAGAGGACCGCGGTAATCGAAGGCGCTGAGCCAGAGACTCGGAAACCAAAGATGACTCCGAACCCTGGTCCACGAGCGCACGCGCCGTATGAACGGCCCCGCACCGATCGAGAACACGAACGCGGGCGGTAGCAAGGAGGACAGCAACCGGAAGAGCCGGTGGATGCTGCGCCAAATGTGACGTTGTTGAGGCGACACTTGTCTGGAAAGCCTCGTGGAGGCTCGTGTGGTGCTGCGCAATACACGTCGAGCAAGTCCTTTTGGAGCGGCAATCGCTCAATTTATGTCTTCCAAGACAGTTGAGGCACAAGTGGTTGGCCTCCACGTGACGCTTTCTCTCGTCGGCAGTCTTTTTTTGGTAAACGTCGCACCAGAGAATATAATGCTCCTTACCGCACAAGGAGCAACGTCCGCCCTTATTGTCCCGTTTACGCGCGTGAAGGGCTCGCGTTGTTTTAGACGACGTCACCTCGGCTTTCGCGGGCTCGGGCCTGACCGGTTGAAGCGACTCTAAAGTATGCAACCGTCTCTCCAAAAAGATCTGTAGATCATCGTACGACGGAGGTTCCGTTGTATCGCTCATAGAAGCCTCCCATTCGCGGCGCGATCGGGCGTCAAGAAGCTCGACGACGAGATGCACGAAAAGATCTTCCCCGCTAGTAATCGGTCTCTCGATGCCTTCGAGCGAGCTGACGGTATTCAAAACGCAGTGGTATAACTTACGTAGTTCCGAAGCAGACTCACTCTTCAACTTAGTCAGGGCCATGAACTGGTGAAGGTAGGAACGCACCAAGAGTCTCTTGTTCTCGTAGAAGTCCGTCAGCGCCTGCCAAGCCCGGCCATAATTCTCAGACGTCGTCGGTAGATTCCGTATCAGCAGGTCCGCATCCCCCTTCACACTGGCCTTGAGATAATGCAGCTTCTCAACGGGACTAGTGGCCGCATCCTTCCCAATGAGGGAGTTGAAAAGGTCGCGAAAGGGCGGCCAGTCCTCGTAGCGTCCTGAGAATTGAGGCAGCTGGATCCTCGGCAGCGTCGTTCGCGGCGAACGCGACGGAGTCGCAGTCGGTACCGCCGCTAACGGAGGTTCTTGGAGATCGTATAAGGCGTCGATGAACATACCCTTTTGAGTGAGGAAGGCTTCCTCAGCTACGTCACGCAAGCACCCCTTTTGGTACGCGTGCGTAGCGAGTTCCCTTTTGAAGTCTGTTGTCAGGGTGGCATGCTGGGCTTCGAATTTTTGCCAGTTGGTCTCGAGACTCTGCAGACGGGCCTTTTTTTTTTTTGTAACCCGGGGGAAT